TAAGAGAGCATGACTACCCATAACCACTCAAACCAAGTAAAATAGTTACTTAGAATTCAGGTAATTTATCTGTACGACACTGCAAACAAATACAAAACAAATTTACAGTTACAGCCATGCAGTTTTGTCATTTAAGTATTCTTTAATAGTATAATAGCCTTTCTTAAGTAAACAATTTTTAATGTGACACTTGAACTCATTTATGGGTAACTCAAGAATGGCATCAGGAATTTTATTATAAAAATGTATACCTTGACCCATAAAAGATCGGTAAACCTTCTGTAACCTGTAGGGTGGCAATGCAAGCTTATTTCTATTCCTTGTGTTAAAATTATGCACGTTACTGTTTTTGGTATACAAATTGATATTATAGTTATAATTTTTATTATTTTTAAAGCATGTAACTGCTTGATGTTTAAATCTAAAGAAAATATAACTAGAAAAAATTCCACGCGGACCAGGCAGCAGACGGGACTCGAACCCGCACCCTTCGCAATCCGGGCGAATGCACTGACCAATTATGCTACCGCGGCCCTCACGGACCGCGTCGAAATTCCCTCTAGCTATTCTTAAGCTGCAAGGCAGCGCCATCTCTTCGCATTGTAGGTAAACCCACAATGTCAAATGAATACTTTTACAAGTATTAAACATTTGAAAGAAGAAATAGCAATTATAGTTATAATTTTTATTATTTTTAAAGCATGTAACTGCTTGATGTTTAAATCTAAAGAAAATATAACTAGAAAAAATTCCACGCGGACCAGGCAGCAGACGGGACTCGAACCCGCACCCTTCGCAATCCGGGCGAATGCACTGACCAATTATGCTACCGCGGCCCTCACGGACCGCGTCGAAATTCCCTCTAGCTATTCTTAAGCTGCAAGGCAGCGCCATCTCTTCGCATTGTAGGTAAACCCACAATGTCAAATGAATACTTTTACAAGTATTAAACATTTGAAAGAAGAAATAGCAATTATAGTTATAATTTTTATTATTTTTAAAGCATGTAACTGCTTGATGTTTAAATCTAAAGAAAATATAACTAGAAAAAATTCCACGCGGACCAGGCAGCAGACGGGACTCGAACCCGCACCCTTCGCAATCCGGGCGAATGCACTGACCAATTATGCTACCGCGGCCCTCACGGACCGCGTCGAAATTCCCTCTAGCTATTCTTAAGCTGCAAGGCAGCGCCATCTCTTCGCATTGTAGGTAAACCCACAATGTCAAATGAATACTTTTACAAGTATTAAACATTTGAAAGAAGAAATAGCAATTATAGTTATAATTTTTATTATTTTTAAAGCATGTAACTGCTTGATGTTTAAATCTAAAGAAAATATAACTAGAAAAAATTCCACGCGGACCAGGCAGCAGACGGGACTCGAACCCGCACCCTTCGCAATCCGGGCGAATGCACTGACCAATTATGCTACCGCGGCCCTCACGGACCGCGTCGAAATTCCCTCTAGCTATTCTTAAGAATAGCTAATATGATAAGATACTATGAAAGTAACTAAAATATACAGTCCTGGCAGTTTCTGTATCAGTAAGTTGTCTTATCTTTCTTATAGCATAAGCTGCTGAACTAAGTTTACCAGCCAAAAGCGTAATGTGATGATTCCATTGCAGTTTTGAGTCTATAGTTATACCCAAGAATGTAGTTGAGTCTATTAAATCTAATTTATTATTATTTAATTTAATTTCAATATGTTCGACTTTTACATTAGGTAAAGAAAATTTAATACACTTGGTTTTATTAGCATTTAGCTTTAGATTATTAACATTAAAATTGATATTATTTTTAACGAGGAGTATACAATTGTAAATGAATTGAGAAGCAACAGTCAAAATGCCGATTTCTTTAAATTTTTCTCTAAGAGATGTTCGGCTACTCAATTGATAAATAGATCTCACAGCTCTTTTTTGTAGAATGAATATACTTTCAATATCAGCTGCTGTTCCCCAGAGTATAATGCCGTATGATAAGATACTATGAAAGTAACTAAAATATACAGTCCTGGCAGTTTCTGTATCAGTAAGTTGTCTTATCTTTCTTATAGCATAAGCTGCTGAACTAAGTTTACCAGCCAAAAGCGTAATGTGATGATTCCATTGCAGTTTTGAGTCTATAGTTATACCCAAGAATGTAGTTGAGTCTATTAAATCTAATTTATTATTATTTAATTTAATTTCAATATGTTCGACTTTTACATTAGGTAAAGAAAATTTAATACACTTGGTTTTATTAGCATTTAGCTTTAGATTATTAACATTAAACCATTGCAAAACTTGCGAGAGAGCATTATTAACATCGTCATAGTTGTTCTTGCGCCTGTCAACGTTAAATAATAAAGATGTGTCATCAGCAAATAATACTATCTCACACAAATTTTCTACAAAAAATGGCAAATCATTTATATATACTAGAAACAGAAAGGGACCCAAAATTGAACCCTGGGGAACGCCCATTTCCACATGAGATCCAGATGATCTAACACCATTTACCTCTACAGTTTGAATTCTGGAACTGAGATACGACTGTATTAATTTATATGCAGTACCTTTGACTCCATAATGACTTAATTTCAATAACAGCGTGTGATGATCAACGCAATCAAAAGCTTTGGATAAGTCACAGAACACTCCAAGAACATTCTGCGACCTCTCCCAAGCCTCCAATATACTCCTTACAAGTGCAACACCCGCGTCAGTAGTAGATCTACCTCTGGTAAAACCAAATTGTTTCCTATGCAAAAGTTTATTTAGGTTGAAATGAGGCATTAATTGTTCCAGAATAATTTTCTCAAATATTTTACTTAGAACCGGTAATATTGATATAGGCCTATAATTTCCAGGTTCACTTCTATTTCCTGATTTAAAAAGAGGTATAACTTTACTGTATTTCATCAAATCCGGAAATACGCCTTGATCAATACAGTTATTAAATATATCAACTAGATAAGGGGCAATAACGGGTATTATACTTTTAATAACTTTAGTAGAAATACCCCATAAATCACTTGTATTTTTTTGTTTAAGAGATTTAAAACACTTAATAACATCAATAAAACTAATATGTCTAAACTGAAACACGTTATCACACTTAGGTACATATTTCTCGAGCAATGTCTTGGCAGCCACCGTTGAAGAGCTCAAATTAGATGTAGTCACCAAAGGAACATTAACGAAATAATCATCAAAAATATTAGCGATATCTTCCTTAGATTTTATTAGAATATTATTGGACTTAATTTCAATAATATCGTCACGTGGCCTTTCTTTGCCTGTTTCACGATTTATAACATTCCACGTTGTTTTGATTTTATTATTCGATTTACATATTTTATTTTTAATAAAATTAGATTTGGCTGTTGCACATACCTTTTTGAAGGTTTTAGAATAACATTTAACGTAATCAATAAAACTTTGTGAATGATTATATTTTCTCAGATGATACAATTCATAAAGTTTGTTTCTACTTTTATAGATACCAGTCGTAGCCCAATCACAGAACTGTAACTTCTGAGTAAGTTTCGAAGTTTTTAAGGGAAAAGCCTTATCGAATTCATTCCTTATTAGATTAAAAAGATCCCCAAAAAGAATATCAGGATCATCATGTGTCCATGGGATATGAGAAATCCTATCATCAATGTTTTTTTGAAAATTTTCTAACCTGTTTTCTGTTACTGGTCTCAATTCAATTACTTTGGTTTCATTTTTTACATCTATTTTATATTGTATTTTTAAGCCATAATGGTCAGATGTAATACTATTAAAAATAGACTTACTATCAGGAGTACTATCTGTAAATACATTATCCAAACAAGTTGCCGAATGTGATGTCACCCTAGTCGGCTCAAAAAATTGATGGATCAAATTAAAACATTTAAATAGTGATATTATACGTACTGACATTGAATTTTGTTCAAGAATATTAATATTAAAGTCACCGCAAACAACCAAAAACTTATTTTTTGACTTTAACTTTTTCAGTACATCCTCCATTACAGATTCAAAAATGTTAAAGTTACCTACAGGGGGTCGGTATACGCATACTATTATCATCTTATTTAGTTCCACACAAGATAGCTCAATGCTACGTTCATTTGAAAGGCCAGCTATATCCTTTCTATCCTTACATCTAATATTTTTGTTGACAAAAATCAATGAGCCGCCGTGTATGGCTGTCTTTCGAACATAAGCACTCAACAACTGAAAATTGTTTATGTGATAAGACATTTCACAAAGCTTGAGCCAGTGTTCCGTTAAACATATAATGTGTATGTCCTCACTTTTCGAATACAATTCTAATTCTAGGTCTTTGCCAGCCAAACCTTGTATATTTTGATGAATAATATTAATAATGCTTTTATTAGGTTTGGCTGTTGTCTTTAAGCTCAGTTTAAAACTGGGCTGGTTAAATTGTTAATAGAGTTAATATTTCTTTTACTAGAAATACTAACACTATTTTGTTGAATAGGGTTAGTTATACCATGTATAACCGTATTTTGTATATTAAAAGCTAACAAATTAGCTATCTGGGTCCTAAATCTCTTTGCGAGATACATAGTATCTGTAGTCAACTTAAAATATCTAATATATTTATTTATATCAAAATATAAACATATGTCACTATGACTATTAATTAAATTATAAATACTTAACCTTTGGTACCTATATGCATTTTTCCTTTAATGTATTCTGTTTTTTTTATTGATTCATGAGCTTTCATGAGCTTCATGAGCAGCAGTACTTAAAAAGGCTTAATCGATGATGCTGACGTAATCACCTTCTCTACCCTCCACCCCCCCATGTCATCAAAAATAAGCAAAGCAAAGACCCCCCTGCCCCCCTATAGTGCTTACGTAATACTTGAACAGCCCCCAATAACTGTGTCAAAAATCAAAACTACCGAAACACGATTGGTACACACACGATTATTACTTAGCAAAATCGACGCCCATAGAGACAACTGAAAATGTTGACTTCTCCCGCAGGTTCAAGACAAGGCAGGTGGTAGTTCCAGTGCAGGTTTCGAAATGTCCGTTTCGAGTACCGAGGAGGCAGAGTCGCGATGGTCGGCATTCCGCCCAGTCGGGCCTAGAGCGCCGCTCCTTCCCGCCCTCGTGATGGGCCGAGTATGTGGCTCCGACTGGCTCGTCCCACTGCCTGCATTACCTGCCCTTTCCACTCCTCTACTCCTACCTCTACAACATCCACATCAACCGCCACCATGCAACCCTTGCACACCAGATTGTCGGCAATGCAACATTCATCATTAACGTGTTTTCCATCAGCATTGAATAATCAGGGTTGTCTGGAATAACGGGCGCCAGTAGAACAATGTCCATAGACAATGACGACATTCGGGATTAGACAGATGCGTAGATCCTTCGGCTCAGTTATAATTCGCGACATAAGGACATTGTTAGCCTAAGAACCAACAATCATGAAATATTATTTTCTAGGTTCGAAATTGCAAGTAAATGACTATAAAAGCAAAGATTATTGACGGACACTTCTGAGAACTTAAATTATCAGGAAAACTTAATATTTTTTGAGGTTATGTTTAATATTAAATGAAACATAGGTCAACCTATGAACTTAGTATGAATTGAATTAACATTACAAGTAATTCATTTTTATTCGATGCGATTTTAAAGAATAACTATTAGGAAACTTGGTAAGGTAGGAATCATGAATAAAATAAAAACTGTAGTTTTGCTTCTTATTTTTTGACTATTTTTCACATAATTGTATCATATTGTATTTTACATGTATATTGTATAAATATGCGGCGTGAATGTGTATCAGCTGCTCTTGAATAATCATCCTCTCAGGAGGTTGTGGCACAGGTTCTCTAGCACTTGGTAATAAGGGGTCTGCTATTTGGTAACATCGATGGCATATTAGATAGCCGAAATAGTTAAATTAAAGGAAAAACAATCGCAAATAAACACACACAATAGGAAATCCGAAACGAGAATTCACGAATGCCACAGATTACTACGAATGCAAACTGCCTGCACCACAACCACAGAGTATCGAGCTTTATGCAGGCCCTTTACTTGACAACAGTCTGTCATTGGTAGTTTTCCAATTACAGTACTACAGCGCATTATGCGGCATAATGCCTATCTTAGCGCACTCTGCTGTTGCATTTGAAAACTAATTCACGTTCCAATTAAGCATCATCATAATTCGGCATTGTGCGCTACTGTGTCGCATTATGCTCTGTAATTGGAAAACTACCCTTGTCATGCTTAATATGGAATAAAAAGGACAGACTGATGTCAAGTTTTCAAAAAGCAAACACGAATAGCCAAGTGAAGTGCCGGCATTAGGAAGAAAGAATGTTTTTTTTGCAGCGCTGCCATAGATTATACATATAAAATGGTAGTCTCAGATTATTTTTCAACTTTTTAATATAGCTTACTTAACTGGAAGTGTCCGTCACAATCTAAATACTGATAATTATCGCAAAAATATACTAATAATTATCATAAATGCCAACTTGGTGTTGGTTCTTAGGCCAAATTTAACATTGTCCTTTAACGAGCTTGCCCCGCCACATTGGTACCAACTGGCGACGTGAATTTTCATAAAAACCCTCATTTCTTAATGGCCCGTCTTATGTGGTCTTATATAACTTATTATAAGTCATTATGTCTTAAAAGCTCATCGGTTCTGATTCTGTAGCAGCAATGGGGATTAGTTTGGTAGACTACTTATTAAGAAATAAAACTAAGCATACATGTGATAATTTTATGCCAAAGTTTTGTAATTAAGTTATATACGCTTTTTATTTGTACAGTAAATGTTGAAGTAATCGAAAATTGTTTTATTAATATTTATTCCTCATAACAGTGTGTTGGGTAGGTATATACTTACGTGATTTTCAACAAATTTTTTTACAGAGTAGTTGTGGTATTGTCATTAAAATAAATAATTACTGTAGGTACTATGTGTGTGGTTTTGACGTGACAACGTCTTAAATTAGGTTGCGGCTGGGAGTCACTTATGAAAAAGTGTAACGCTCGGTAACGTTACGATGAGTCTCTCGTGTTAAGTTTAAGTTTACATGTACAATGTTTTAGTAAACAAAATATATTTCTATAGTTAAAATTTGTGCAATTCTTATTTTCATTCAATTCCTTGTTCCTATTGTGCAATTTAATTATATTCATATCAATAAATATTCTACCGAGAAAAAGACGTTGTCACGTAAAATCTTCGCCCGTAAAACCGACTTTACAGGCAACCATTTTTTTACACAATTTTAACAAACGCTGGTTAATAAGTTTTAAAATATTTTAATGGACTATATAAGTACTATGTGAGGTGTTTGTATGGTGAAAGTAAAGTGATATATAGAGTTCTTGCTAAATCAAAAGGGTAAGTAAAATCCACTAACCTTGACCATCTACCTTCGCAAGTGAACATCACCAACTCCGGAGACTAACGCACGGGCCGCCGTTGCGGTACTTAGGCAGCAGGATCTTGCAGCAAGAACGGAATGGTCATAGAAAGGACATTGCTCGTTCCCCATACATTGAATGCCCTAGAACGCCCAGCAATGAGAAAATGCTAGTTGTGTTCGGAATCATTCATAAATTCTAATTAGGCATTCGTTGAGATACGGACAACTTGAGGAACCGTGGCCTACTACAGAATGTATTAGATTTGGAGGTTATAATTATTATACTTTATCGTAAAAGATGTACACTTTATATTATATTCTGAATAGATTTAGTGTTTTCCTCTATGTATGCACTTAAATAATATGCATTAAATGAATATAAAATGCAATTAATAAAAATAATAAATGCTTATATTCATATTGATTTATGAGTGTTTCTCACAATAGATTTCTTTTCAAATGAAATGTTCAAAATCTTTCGATTTACCCGTTTCTATATTTTACTATCGGTAATAAGGTATGTACAACCTGGATATCATTGTGATTTTCATAAAAATAAACATGTATTATACGAGATGGGAGTATGTATAAACTATCTTTACATAATTTCAGAAATAATATTTTTTTAAATATAATATAAATACTAGTGACAAGTTTTATTAACTAAGGTACTTAGTTCTATTCTTATGTTGATAAATACCTATAGTCGCCATTATTGCATTTATTAAGGTAAACAATCTTGGCACAACTTTTTTACAAAATCACCCATTTAAAAATAAAATAAAAACCAAGCCAATAAACTATTAAAATAAATCGTTATTTTAGACTGAAACCTATTGAATCCAGTTATCAGTTGATTTTTAATGCTGTATTTCCAATAAAAAGGAGTGCCAAGATTGATTACCAAATAGGACAAGTTAGGATGAACATACTGTAATATCTAGTAACAGAACTTTTATTTTTTAGTTCTTTAAACAGATTGTCCGTTTACTATAATTAATTGATAATAAGTTAAAAAAAATAATAGAAAAATAATAGTGAAGGACATTCTTTTGGGCATGCTAGGGCCGATTTCGTCGATGTCCTTTATTTCCACTTAACGTGAGTATTGGTGACATGACGAGAAAAAACATTTATCTCGAGCGCGTGCGAAATAAGGGGTGTAGCCGAGCAATCACAAAACGACGATATCGACCAAAATTAGTGAATTATTTTTTTATTTTAACAGGGTGACTCATAATATTAGACAAGAACTGAACACGTAGATAAAATTCATTATCATCATCAGCTTAATAATGTTCCGCTTGGACACATATATGTAATAGGGAGATAGGCCACTCAGGACTAGTGTGGTTTCGTGGGTGCTAATGATTGCGGATGCAACGATCTAACGTGTCTTCCGAAGCATGAGTAGCTTGAGGTGTTAAATTCCACCCCATCTTGTTACCGGCCATTGAGACAGTTGCTCAACTTTCAAGATCCCAGTCAGACCAACCGCGCCAAACCACAGCGGCATCGTGCTTCATATTACATACGACTACAATAATAATATGAATTTTACTAAAGCAAAATAAATGGAGTTAGATGTGATATCCCCAAAATCCCTAAAGCAGGTGACTAATGAATTGTATAAATAAACGGTGAAGAATAGATGACATTCAGAGGGTCGATTTTATCAATCTCAATGACACAAGAACATCCATGCGGTGACAATATTTCAATAGGAGAATAACTTTATCCCCCTTATTAATAAACGAAGACTACGCTTGGATTAGTTACTCCATGTTTTGTCTCTGTCTATTGAATGACAAATGACATTTGAGAGACATTAAAAAAACACGGCGTGGGTGTGACTAGTCAAAGCTTATTTCTTGTTTATTAATATCGGGGTGAGTTAATAGCAACAATTATAATGTTCAGGAAAATTATTATCGTTTTTCTTAGCTTTACCAAGAATAATTAATAGGGTATCTGTAAATACACAATTTATAGGGTATCTATAACCATGATATCCTTTATTTGGCAGTATTATATAAGGGAGACTCTGTTAATATTGCAATAGAGAAATTTTTAGTATGATACTTTCTACATAGATATAACGCAATGGAGAAATTAAATATATGTAAGTACAATACATACGTACAATTATTTATTTACAGATTGAAATAATTTTTAATGAAAAGTATTAACTGTCGATGCCCAGAAAAGTTGTAACACAAACAAAAACTTTTATGATGATCATCTCTAAGCAAAAAAGTTCAATGCGTCTATTTCATCACGTCATCATTATCATCATCCTATTCATATCCCCACTGTTGGGGCACAGGCCTTCCCTATAGATGGAATAGGGAGATTGGGCCATGACTCACCACGCAGGTCCAGGGCGGATTGGCGGGTGCTAACGAACGACTGTAGATGTAGCCGGGACCAACGGTTTAACGTGCCTTCCGAAGCACGGAGGAACTCGAGATAGAAGATTTTTGGTCACCCATCCAATAACCGACCAAAGCGAAAGTTGCTTAATTTAGCCTAACGTAGCCGAATGCGCTTACCTCCCGCGCCATCGAGCTCCTCCTCAATTTGCCTATTTCGTCACGTCGTGCCTTTTAAATATATTTGAATACCTATATTTGAAGTCAAGTGACATTCACAGGTCATAATTTACATATTAATGTCGGTACGGCCAATTTTGTTTAGGCGTTAATTTTAACGAGTTGCATTGCGGTTTGTCGAAAGGGAAAATAATGTTTATTTTTATATTAGTGTTCGTTCTTTTAAACATTTCACTGGATATTAGTTATTTTTTACGGACAATATTCACAGTTTTCAGTGGTCGAGTGTATCAAAAGATATATTCCTTATCTGATGTTTCTACAATATATGGTTGGTAAACACCTATTTACAATGTATTGGTACTTAGTATTAACCGTATTATAGATATATTTAAATTACCTCTCACTAAAAATTGTAGCTGGAAAATTATGATTAATTTGATTTTGGAGTTTAGTGGACAACATTAAGCGCAGCTTATTTCCAGAGCTCATTTCATAGTAAAATATTTGTGATGAACATGAGGTAAATACCTACTTAAAATACATAATTTTTGTTACAGGCATTTGTACATTTCTTGATTGCGATATATGGTTTCGAAATATTCGTGATGCGAGAATCATTCGCGAATTAGACTTCGCTAGGTTCCATTTTTACGATAGAACTGGAATATTTAGGAGATCCCGCCAGCTTGGGATTCATTCTTTGCAAGGTAGCACTTTGATGCTATGTCAGGAACAAATCCCCTTGTTCAAACCGTACAAGATAACTACGCAGGTAATTTGACGTAGAGTGATTAAAAAGTTAAATGAATGCATAGTTACTACAATGTTTATAGGCTATGATTTAGGCGAATCAAGTTAAGCGTTAAAATAGTCGGTACTTAATTTGTATAATTTATAATGGGTATGAAAATAGCCCTGTCACATCTGTGTTGCGTTTTAAAGCTAAATTAAGAAAATTTACAAAGGAATAAGAATAAAAAAATTGGCTAAGTACCGATTAAACCACTCGTGTCTCGCTCACTACAGGATATTGGTGAAAGTAAATAAATATAATAAATAAATACAAAATCTGTGGGAAACGGAAAAAGGCCACTATATAAAAAACATCATCATCATCAGCAGCCTATTAATATCCCCACTGCTGGGGCACAGGCCTTCCATATGGATGGAATAAGGCGATTGGGCCATGTCCCACCACGCGGGCCCAGTTCGGATTGGTGGGTGCTAACGACTGCAGATACAGCCGGGATTAACGGCTCACCGTGCCTTACGAAGCACGGAGGAGCTCGAGATAGTAAATTTTTGGTCACTCATCCAATGACCGACCATTGCGAAAGTTGCTTAACTGCAACGATGCAGCTGTACGCACTAACCACTTGCGCCATCGAGCTCCTCCAAAAAATAATTGTTTTGATAAGAAAATTCCAAGTTTCTAGTAAAACATGATTGTGAAGGCATAATGATTAGTTCCTTTAGTCCTCTTCGACAGTGTCCAGGAAATGATGCATTATATTAATGATGCATTAATAGAAGATAAGGATAGCGCTAGGATAAAATGCCGTGGGGCACGTTTATCCTGGGTGTGGTAGCCACCCCATTTCAGGGGTGGATTTTTTTGATACTTTTTCACATAAGAAATGAATAAAAAAATTAATTGTAGGGGAATAATGTACTATACATATTTTTCGTAAAACTAATATTTTCTAGTTCTTCGCTATGGTGTTGGCGTCGGTCCTTAGTGGTACCCGGATCTTATCCGGGGATTCTTAGCACCCCTTGCCCCGCCGTTACCATAGCTGCTATCCTGGCTAGGACTAGCAGGGCTGCCGGGAACAAGGGGCCAATTTTTAATTGTGCTAGACATCTTAGGGGGGTTTTGCCGTAATCGCCACAAGACAAGACAAGATGCTGCTGCTCGTCTTCTGCTGGCTGTGCTCCCATAGTCACCTTTTATGACACCCATGGGACGAGAGAGGTGGTGCTATTCTAGAGTAGCACCACCGGCCTAGGCCGGCACACACACGGCAATATCAATCAATCAATCAATATTTCCAACAGTCACACCAACTAGCCTAGCCCCAAAGTAAGTACTGTAGGCTTGTGTTATGGGATACTAGGGTAACGGATAGAATACATGTACTGATACATATATAAGTATATTTTATTTATATAGAAAATCAAATTAAACATGACTTCATTACAAATGCTCGTATTCATCATCATTCATTCATCGAGGAGTGTTTGTTTCAACTATTTTAATGTGTAGTTTTGTTTCAGCTAGTTTACTGGGATGATCGTTCATTATTCTTGGAACACAAGGTAATCACGCTGAATGATAATAAAATAAGATATTATCTTATATCTCGTCAATATGCACTTCGTGGAACAGAATACGCGGTTCAACCTCTTCTGAAATGTCTACCAGGTGAAGAAAATAAACTGTGTCCTGAGAATATAAACATATGGTTAAAGGGTATGAAACTTAGCAGTGACAAATTGAGAGCATCAACATAAAGTGGGACTCAGTAAAAATTTCGCTATATCCTATCTCTCTTCATCAAGTGGAACTGAAAGGAGGCTAATCATTTCCAGTATGTCGTAATTAGTTTTTGTGTCTATAAGTATTATTGATGTAAGTGGCTTGTTCTGGAAAATGTTGTAGTTTTTCTTATAATTCATGGACACAATAAATAACCTGTAAAATCTAAGTATGTAGTTTTTCTGACTATCATGTATTGTGTATTAATTTGAAATTGAATCATCTAATTATCGGAGACCTATTGAGTAACGGAAGCTAACCTGTTCACCTATCCCAATATAATGAATGAATAAATAAATGAAAGAAAACTATTGATTTTCTGCATAATCTTGCTATTAAAATTCCTCAGGTCAATAGTGCCCATGAACTTGACAGTTGCGTACAGACCGCAGCTAGCTTCAAACGGCCATAGCATACCGGTTCAGTGACTTGATAAACAACAACTTCAACGCGTAGCACTTTGATTAGTATGCCAACTAACACGCTAATACACAGACCGTCACATCGTTTATTTCTAGGATTTCTCTTAATAATTTCTTAATTTATTAGTATCTGCAAGTTGTGTGAAAATGTATTGTATAATAACATCTATTGTAGCACTTTTGTATGTACTGTGGGATGTCAATTACTTCCTACGGGTGGCATTTACTATTTGTATTGGTAGATTGTTTCAAAAGAAGTGCGGTGTTCGCGATTCTACAACAATATACGGTAAGCTCCGTAAAATTATCTAATGTTAAGTTTCTTTTCTCATAAAGCACGTTTCGTATATCACAGAAAGACTCAGATGTTTTGCTCAGTGATTTTGAGATTATTTGCTTACGACCGGTACCACTAGTAGGTTAGAACTACTACACACTACTACACTTCAACAACTTTGTAATTAATAGATTCCGTACGGAAAATAACGCCATGCAGACATAGTAGCATGTGCTATGCCGGTTTTTTTTCATATTTTACTCTTTTTTTTTACTAAAATAATTATCTTAAATAGATATCGCGATTTCATAATAACACACAACCATTTTATACTTAAAGTATTTTATTTAAAAGGAGTAGCAGAGCGAGATAGCATACTATCGGTTTAATACTGTGTCCCATTCTGTTTTTTTTTAAAATCTATATAATATGAAACCACAATTATCTATCTTCAATTAGTCACACATTAACTCATTGAACATTTTGAATATAAATTTAAAACAGGATTTGTTTGTATTGACAAAGTTCTTTATGTTTAGTGATATCTAAGAAAGTTACATACGGACAAGAAACTGAATTTGCCTTTTTTACTTCTTCAACAATTTATAAACATAACATTTATTCAGAATGCCGCACTTAAATTTTTTAGTGTACAATTTTAATTAATGTTGGTCTTTGAAAGAAAAATATACGAGTAGGTAGATAAGTAATTAGTCGCAGAGTCAGAGAATTAAATCAAGGACTGTACCTATTTTTTGATGGGTTAATTATATATAACATGAAAAAAGACATGTTTAACAATTGACTGTTGCACGATTTGATGATGTTCTTTAACGTTTTCAAATAAATGTGTCGTAATCAATTGAGTTTAGGTGTAATAATAACTTTCCTACAGCATTTATTTGCATACAATAGCTATATGCAAGTAAAATTAGGTTAGTATTTGAAACATACAATACTTATCTAAGTAGAAACATTGAACTATATTATACATATGTAATTATAATATAATTACTTCTTTCATTTACCCGCACCCCACCCGCACTGCTGCAATCTACTTATTTGACAGTACCCTAGGACAAATCCTTGACATTAACCCACTTGAGTCTGAAAGATTTTACTTACTTGGATGGTTATGATTTTTACATATGTTACTATCTAATATCCTCTCATACTAGGAAAAATATATATAAAAAAACTATCGGAAAAGCGGGATATAGGTGTCCTTTTAAACGTACTCTAGCTTAATATACTGCTTTGCACTACTCAAATACTTTGCTTCGTTTGAATGGGTTAATAGTACGCAAAACAACGGTGTTATGTTACAAATATGTTTATTTAACATTTAAATTGTAATATATACCTACTTAAATAAATACACAACTTAATCATCCATAGTATGATAATTTTCAAAGCAATGCTTAGGATGCAATGTAACTTCACACTTTTTGCAGAAAAATTAGGCTTTTGTGTGGCACTTAATTGATTATCCCTATATTTTATTATGTGACCTATATCAGCATACCACGAAATTTCTCTAAAATTCTGAGAAATGTGGCCGCTGCTTTTCGATTCACATTTTTTTTGTAAGTTTCAAGTAAACCTGTCGCAATGCTCCTTCTAAACTGTAGATGGTCGTATTCGCCACCATTTTTTTTTGTACAACTGCCAAGCGTTGTGAGCAGTCATATCTAAGCAATGGGAAATGAGCGAAAAATACCATTTTTTCCCCGTATAGAAGTTTTATACAATCCTATATTTTGATCGCACCTGTTTACTCCTCCCATGTTCTCATTGTAGGTCTTTACAAGAGCTGGTTGATCAACATATATGTACTTTTTTTTGTTGTAGCGATAATTTTTTTATTTTTCCTTTGGGTTGCACTTTTGCGGAATTCGATGAAACAGATACTACACTGTTGTCATTCCATTAGCAAATTAAAATTTGTTCAGTTCTAGTAGACATGTGCTTATAGGCTCCACGATCTAATTTCTTTATTTGACGGGAGTGGACATTTGGACAGACGATTTTCTCTTATCGTACCTGTAGCTTTCAAACCTCTCAGACGTAGTTCATCGATGAGTGGGATAGATGTGAAGAAAGTATCAAAAAACAGATGGAAAGGCACTTGCGAATCTAATTTACGAAGAACTTCAGCATACTGTAAAATTACACTAGCGCCCAGGCCTAAATTCTTGTTGTCATTTGCCTCAGCTGTCTGACCTTGGTATGGATCAAACCAAATCACATAGCCTAAACGTGTAGATCCTACTCAGAACTTATAGCCCCATCTAATAGGTTTTCCACGAATGAACTGTTTACCATGGCCTCATCAATACTATGATTTTCTTCTATTAGCTCATACTCTTTTTATTTAATAGGTCAAATAATGGTCTTAGTTTAGCAAATTTATCTTTAGGATTCAAATTAGTTACCACAAAATCACAGTTCAAATTAGTTATCACAACAATGTAAGTGTGTCATTATGAATTTGAACCTATGTCTCGTCATAGCATTATAAACTTAACTAACGTAACTTCCACCTAGGAGCGCTTTAATTCAAACGGAAAATCCTCTCTACCCTACTTCTCTTAAATCCTTCAGTTTACCTTCGCTGTCATAATTATTTAATTAAAGCGGGTAGGTATATCTAATCTATCTGTATGTGCAGAAAATCAGTTGACAATTTTTTATTAACTTTTCAGGATTTTGCACCACGCAAGATGTGGACATCTTTTTGCGTCACATGAATAACGCAAGATACGTTCGAGAGTTGGACTTCGCTAGGTTTCACTTTTACGACCGCACCGGTATCTACGCCAATATTAAGGCTGTGGATGGGCATGCTCTTCAGGGCGCTTCCAGCATTCGGTATAGAAGAACTATACCTATTTTCAGCGCTTACAAAGTAGAGACGAAGGTTAGTTTTTAAGGAACTTTGAGTCTATTGCCTATTACTTCTAAAATTATATCGATTATACAGGTTGGAAAAAAAGACCATGGTTCGAAGAAAAGTACCCTTAGGCGTTTTGCAGACGACGGGGCGGGGCGGGCATTTTGTCCGCGAAGCAATAAAAACCGCGTTTGCCCGTCGATGTCTATGGCTGCCCGCGCCGCGTACACAAAGCACACGACGGGCAGAGGCGGTCAGTTCAGGACGTTCGTTCTAGTGAATAGTCCATCACTAAAAAGCGCGTGGCGCGGACTGAGCTGACCGCCCCGCGCCGCCGTCTGCGTTACTGCATATAAACTGGTTTGTAAGTATGATCTACGGCGGGCAGCCAGTGCCCGCCCCGGGCACCTGCGGCGCGGTCTTTTTGCCCTCTGTGTGCGTTTGTAATATAGGATTCACTTTGTGCTATCGTTCGCGGCGAAATTGCCCGCCCCGCCCCGTCGTCTGCATTTTTAGTTAAATACTTAAAAATTAGAAACATAAGACTGAATATGTTCAGTATATTTTTTATATTTATTTAGACAACCAAAAAGGATGTATACCAACATGTCACATAGTAAGAAACTCAAGTGTTTGTTTTATTCACAATAATTTTGGTGTTACCTGCAGTTGGCTAACACGGAAAGCACAAAATTATAAAAAAATAGAGTTGCGTTTAGGTGCTGTACCTATGTTGAACGAAAGTTTAGTGTCAACTTATTGTTGAAAATTGGTAGACTTTAGACTAAAATAAAACAATATCCTTTTTTATACCGTTTATAGGTTGGTTATCTAATTTTTTAACTAAACAAGGAATATCTAGTTAAATGTGTCAATTTGTGAGAGTTTCTTACATAAAATTTATGAAGCAGTAAAGTAGTAACTTAACTGAACTAAGGATAGTAAGTTATTTGTGGAAGAAGCCGAAACGCACGCATAAGCACCCATCCGATGGCCAGCTGTTGCGATAGTTGCTTAACTTTCACAATCGTTAACCAAATGAACTAATCACTGTGCCAACGAGTTCCCTATATGCAAACGAAAGGTGTTTTCATGATGTGAACGAACAGAATTAAGCATATAGGTCAGTAATAGCGTTACTTTTTATGATAATATTTTTATTAATTTTCAGTTGGTGTACTGGGAAGATACAACTCTTTTCATTGAACAGAAATTCATAACTTTGAATGATGGATTCGTGCGCGCCGTCGTGCTGTCTCGTCAGAATTTGATCAACGTCAACGTAGAGAGACTTTTTAGAGATATTCCTGGAGCTGATCAAAAACCTGAATGCCCAGAAGAAATCAAGCACTGGTTGCAGTCTATCGAAATTTCAAGTGCGAAATTAAGAAAAAAAGATTAAGGGACACCCCCAGACAGTAAATTATTGGATCTATTTATTGTTTTCTTTACTGTATAAGCATAACATTTTCAAATAAAAAGGGAAGGTACGTATGCGACTTTTCTCTCATTCATGACATCCTATAAAAATCTAACGACAACAAAGAAAAAAGGACAACATAAATATCACATTACCAGCACTCCCGCCTGTCACAGCAAAGTGTTAGATTACTATTTAAACAACCACAGCATTATGAACATGAATTTGTGGATTGGAAATACGATACAGCTAATGTTTGTTAAGAATTTTCGGCTTATAATATTGTTGTGTTACAAATTAAAAAGTTGAGGAATTTCAATTATTACAATCAACATAAGTAGGATAGGTAACTGAGATACCTACCCGGTAGGATAAATAACTGAGATCTCGTCGACCCTGACTAATAAAAAACGTAATGATATTTTTTTCTTATTCCAAATGCAGCTTAACCTTTGTTTGTAGGGCCAAGTTTCAGTTTCTGTTGGCTATTAGTTCTATGAGATTAGAAAGGAACGCCGCCGACCACACACGATACGAGTATAAATATACCGGACATAGTTTGTCTTGAGATGTGGCTCAAGAAATTATAAATAACTAGTAAATAAAGTAAATGAGAACTTAACTTAATTTTATGAGTCAAAGGTTCTCTTTTATAATAGTAATTGAAACTCAATTAAATTTGCCATAGTTTTGAGTTTTGAGTGAAGGTTCGAATCCTGTCTAATGCCTGAGCCGCATAAAATTATTTGTAGTAAAATTTTCTTTTAGATTTAGAAATCTAGCTGTTAAAACAAAATTATACATTTTACCTATTTAGGATGATTATATAAAAAAACGATGGGTTGCACTCCGGGAGTGCTGGCAGAAGTGAAAACTTGAATATTAACGTTATGCATTTTGATATTTTGGAATGGTTAGGGAATAATTTTGCACGAATTTCTTTAATTATATTATCAGTATAAAAGTACTATAATTTATGTGGTAGAATACAATATTTGTTTATTGCGCTATCGTACACAAACATGACAATTTATATTACATTAAAAAGTTTATCTCTCAGGATTTCTCATATAAGCGAACCTAGCGACATCTAAAAAAAATGCATTTTCTTCGCAATAAAGCTGCTACCTGGACGTTCTAAATACAGAGTTATTATTATAATGATTATGATTCGTCGAATATATTCAAAGTCAACAACCTTTCCAATTTTATTGTTTTCGTCTTACGATCAGGATATGTGATGCGATCAGCCCGCGTGTCATGACGCATACAAAAAATAGTGTTCAACGCCGGTAAAGAAGTTTTCACTTCAAAAATATTATAGAGTAAAGAAGAATGTCAGTATACTACAATCACTACTTAATTGTATAAATAGAAGTATCGTAACTAAAAACATAATTTTCTTTAAAACTTTCCTAAAGTATCAAAGCAAGGTGAGCGGTCTGCGTCTTTAATAAGCGGTGGCGCTAACCGTGTGTGTCTCGTCTTGTCGTGCAACAATAACAAAATATCCATTAGCTTTAGTGTTTTTCCGTGCTTGATGTTAGTGAAAACATTTGTAAATTAAGTCTTAATTTATTATTTGATTTCCCAATACTATATTTTTCTGTAAGGTTTTTCTAAGAAGGATGGGTGGTCTAAATTAGCGGTTTTAGTACGTACACCGAAAGTAAAAATATGATGACGCCAATATCATTTGAGTGTTGGACTGGATGATGTAGATACTTAGTTTACGCATAACTTTTTAAACCTACAATATTTTTCCAAGATCTCAATATTTTTCTTTCATTTACATCCGCACCAAGAAAAGTCTCTGAGCTAAGCTCTGGACGGACGGACAGACATAAGAATACAAAACTAAGGGTTCATTGTTGACTTTGGAACCCTAAAAATACAGTATTTATTATCAGTAAAAACAATTTATACAAAGCAACATTCAAAATAATTATTCATTCACTGCTTATTGTAGTGGTTAGGAATGAAATATTAAGAGTTGTCAACAGAAGCAGATAACCAATTTTTCAAGTGATATCCCTACTAACAAATTCATAATTTGCTTTGAACGCTGTATTAGGCAAACAATTACTACCACTATATTACTATCATTTCGTTGTATTACTTTTTGAATACGTAATAATGTTTAACCATACTGGTAATCGGGTCTTTGTAGGCAATAGAAAATTACGTGTATATCTACCTTGTTTTTCAGACATACTTCTTTAAAAGGAATATTTATTTAAAGACAATACAGTTCCACTTTTTGCGGAGCCAATAAGTGTAGTTACAAGTTACTTTATTTCCTTAAATATGCTGCCACTTGTTTCATCTTTAGTGTCTATTGAGATCTTACTGCAAAATATTTATTATAACTTTTTAAGTAATTCATATTGTATAACTGTAGTATCGGAAAACTCATTACAATTCCCATTTGACAACACTTTTATATATATTTCACCAAATGGAAATGAAAGTCTTGAAAATCTGTTAAGTGAAGCTTCAGAGATTGGATGTGCAGATTACGTAGTTCAACTACAGGAGCCCACACGCTTTATGGTTGCTTTTGAAGAAACCATTCACATGGGAAATGCTAGGCGAAGCGATCGGAAAATCATATTTTTACCACATAAAGACGACAATGAGACGAGAATAAAAATGCTAGAAGTATTACGGTTAAAGGAGACTGCTTTTGTCGCAAACATATTGTTAGTACTACCAGGTGTCCAGCATGAAGCCTGTGATATGTACGATTTAGTCACACACAAGTATAGTGGTTCGCTTGCAGAGAGTATGGAGCCACAATATATGGATCAGTGGAGTTCTTGCACACTTCAGTTTAAAAACAATGCGAATTTGTTTCCCCATAATATGTCCAATATGAATGGTAAAATAGTCAAAATTGCTTGTTTTACATATAAACCTTATGCATTATTAGATCTCGACACATCGATAGAACCTTTAGGTCGTGATGGTACAGAAGTTAGAATTGTGGATGAATTTTGTAGGTATGTGGTTCTTTTTTATAACTTGAGTAGGTATTTTTAATAACGTGAAATGACTATATTCATTTAGTATAGTAAAAATTATAAAATTTTGCAGATGGGTTAACTGTACCATTCAATTAGTTCAAGACGACGAACATCAATGGGGTGAAATATATACTAATCGTAGTGGAGTTGGAGTTCTCGGAAATGTGGCTATGGATCGAGCTGATATTGGTATCAGTGAGTGAAAAACTACTCTTCTAATCTTAGACATTTATTTCTAGAAGATTAAATTTATTAATTTGATAATATTTTCAGCCGCTCTTTATTCATGGTATGAAGTTTATCGAGTTTTAGACTTTTCTGCAGCTGGTATCCGAACTGCAATCACTTGTGTGGCTCCATCACCAAGGTATTTAAAAAAAAGTGCAGGAGAATTGCTTAAAAATATATATTTTTTTTCTTTGTGTAAAAAAATACTAATGTGAAGCATGATTCATAGTTTGTGTTTATGATAAACGGCAGTGAAAAGTCATATTTTTTAAAGTTCCCGTAGCTTTGATTAAAAAAGTTGCTCAAAAGTAAGAGATTTTTGACCCACGACTCTCTTAAAATTAAATTTGAATACTTTAACACAGGCCTCCCAAAGGCCGCCTTGATAGGGGCTATAAGTGTAATGAAATTGCATGCCTTTAGTAGAAGAATAACTGTATTTTTAAATGTATCAATATTATGCGAAAGGTATTTAATTCTTTAATTACTTTGTCAGTACCTTTAAAATTTGAGCATTATCACAGTAAATATGGGTGGGCCGACACCTTCGTGAAGTAAACCGTTTGCGCATATGAAAGGTTCACTAGTCATATCAGAAACAACTTCCAAATGTGCTGCTGACACTTCCCAGACTGTGCACTACCAACAAACACGACTCTCTATTTTGTCGTTAACCTATCAGGACGCAGAACGCCGTGATGAGGGAGAAAATAGAACGGTCGTTCTTCTGGCAAACAATGGTCCATGTCAATGACCTTTGCGTGACCTAATGCAAGATAATTTTTAATAAATATTTGATACAATTATTATTGATACGATGGATCTTTAACAAACCGTTTTTCTAAATTGTGAAATTTTTGTAACAAAATTAAAAATTAATGTGATAAATCGAGATCATTGAAATTGCATTTTCGCGGCATATGAGCTTAATATCGTTTATCTCGTAATATTAAAGACTCTTTGAAGATACTATAGCCCAAGAGCTTCTGAACCCTCCGAGTAACGGTCTGTCTGTAAGGCTAGAAGTTCTTATGGTGATGAGCCATAGCATGTTTAGTACGGTAAGCATTGTCTGGCTCTCCTTAGCCCTGCACGTCATCAAGCCGTACATTTTTGAGAGTCAAAAAAATATTAAAAAAAAAACTTGTTGCTGTAAATTTTTATACAATGTAGTTTATTCATTTTTATGTTAAAAAAAAATGCCAGACCGGAAGGTGTGTAATATACACAAAAAAATAAACTTTATTCTGTAAAATTGAAATTTATATATGTGTTTGTTTAAGCGATTTAAAGTAAGTACGTATAATGCCAGGCGGTTCCGGCTAGCACAAGTCCTTGCCAGGCGAGGAGAAAGATGCTGCGGCAATGCGAGTAAGAGTCGTAGTATGAAAACTTACATAACTTAAAACTGTTCATAATTTGAAATTAATTACCATTAATTAATATACATTAAGCAGTGTGCATGTTTCAGTGAAGTCACTGATTTGAAAAAATGCAACTCGATACTTAGATGAAAATAAAGAAAAAGCAAGTTCATAAAAATATACTCGCCAATGATGCTGGTACATTGGATGAAGTCGATGTTTTATTCTGGCAATATTTTTTGATTACAGCAAGAAAGTTTTTGTAACACTTCACATGATAAGCCGTATTATCATGAACTTCCTCTGGCAAAGAAATATCATTAAAGGACATTGGGCAAAAATGTATGGACGCTGCACCCACGTCCGCCACAGCTTAAACTACATTTGTTTGAAAGGTATTATAGTCATGATCATTTGTGCCAAAGCGCATCAAATTCCATCCCGGGGGTC